GTACTATGTACCAGGCTTTGTGTCACATGCTATACTTCTCACTATCTCATAAGGATTAACATTATTTCCTACAAATAGTGGAACTAAAGCATACACAGCTTAACAAATTCATTCAAGAAATTTAATTCAAGTAAGGGTAATGACAGCTCTTTTCAAACTGGTAAAATGAAGTACAGAATCTTAAAATTTTTGTGACTGTGCAATTCATCTATATCAATTAGAATCCTAATTGCAGCCAAGTAATTTTTAAGTACAGATCTTTGTTGTCCAAAGAACTGTAGTTACACAATAAATTCTCTAAATTATGTTAACTTAAATAATATTCAAAAATTTGAAGATCTAATACCACAACATGATACCTTTTAATTTTTCTTTCTGAGAAGGTTCTAAGGCAGTCAAGCAGGTCACAGACTTAATTCTTTATTTTGGAACAGGTGTGTTTCAAGTTTTAAATTTGGTATAAGCCAAATCTTGCCATAATCTCTCTGGGAGGGGGCACTTAAAACTCAGATTCCCCCACTTTAATTTCCCCTTTTATCAACTTTTTTCACTTGAAAGTCAAAAGACACCAATGTTTTCAATTAACGAATTCAAGGACTAATATGATTAACTTCTACAATTTACAAACACATGCACTTCAGTATTTTCAACATAGGAACATTTTAGTACTAACAATTTAAAATTTAAAATGTATGTTCCTGGTCCCTCCACTGTCTCTAGAAAATAAGGTAATCCCTTTCAGAGTAGTCTAATTTGTAAGGACGAAGTTCCTACACTAAAACATAAGCCCAAGTTGACAAGCAAAAACTAAACAAAACAAAATAAAACAAAAAACACACTAAAAAATACGATGCTAGTCTCGAGTGAAAGACTGGCAGAGCCACGTTTTACCCTACGTACCAGATTTGTAAAACAAGTGGAACGTGATGTGAAAATTTAGCAGAGTGGAAAAAGCTACATGAAGCTACCAGTACAACTGCCTCTTGAGCTAATTAATGGGGGGGGGGGCGGACATGCACACTTCTGAAGGCTAAGATTGTGCTGATTTCCTAATGGGGATGTGATGTAATACTGGAGAGCCGCCGAACGAGGGGGACAGGCTGACAAAGGGAGTGCAGATGCCAGAGTGCGGGCGAAGCCTGCGGCGGCAGGGAAGGAGAGGGTCACTACAGAGCAAAAGAGGTGTTTCCCACAAAGGACGACTTCAGGGAGAGGGGAAGTGGCCCCACAGACCGAGGACACGGGGGGAGGGCCAAAGAGCGGCGGTAAGGCAGCTAGCAGGGGAGCGGCGTGACATCTGGCGTGCGAGCCGGCAGGGGGCAGAGCAGGCAGGATGTCACGTGGAGTGGGCGCTACGGGAGCCGAGAGGGTTGCGTGCGGACAGAGGGGGGTCTTTCCCACCGCCTGAAAGACTGCGTTACTCACAGGAGTCGCGGACTCTTCTTGCCCTGAGCTGGAGACGGGGGCTTCGCGGCCTGGGACTGCTGCCCTGGGGCGTCGGGAGGCCTGGCGCTGGGGCTGCTCCTCCGCCGGCGGGGATACTCGGCCTTCCTCCGGCGAGACACAGCGGCGGCGGCGGCGGCCGCAGCGGCCCGGCCCCGGTCTCGACCTCCCCTCAGCACGCGGCTGCTAGTGGTCCCCGCAGGCGCCGCCGCCGCCGCCGCCGCAGGGTTATGTTGTTGGGGCTCCTCTGGAGCCGCCTTGGCCGCCGCCGCCTCTCCCCCTTCCTGGTCCTGCTGCTCCGGGGGTCTCGGCTCTTCCGTCTCCCCCGGCATCGGGGCTCGTCCGTCCCCCACCCCCTCGTCCCAGGCGGCGGAGGCGGAGGCGGCGGCAGCCGCGGCGCTGCTCCCCCCGCCCCCTTTGCCTCCCGGAGCGTCCGGCTCAATCTCACTCTGAGCTCCTCTTTCCCCCCCTCCCCTCCGCCCGGCTCCGAGGGCGCCCCCCCCCGCCCCCTGCCACTCAAGGCCCGCTACCGCTGGCTGCGCGCGCGCGCCCGCCACAGACGTTCAGCGGACCAATCGGAGAGGAGGGACAGCTTCTTCGCCCTGCCCCTCGTGGTCTCTCACGCAGCGACGTCCCCGGTTCCCTCCCCCACCCCTTCCTTCAACCAATCAGGAAACGGCTCCAAGGGAGCGCGCGAGGTTTCCTTCCCCGCGCACCCGTTCTCACCGTTAAACGGCTGTGTCTCGCGACAATCCTAAAGTGACCTTCCTCCACCCCCACCCCCTGCGCCACGAGCTCAACGCGCGCTGGGGGCAGTGGGAGGAGCAGGTCCCGCGAGGAGATTGGTGGGAGGAAAACGCACCTTTTCCCCCGCCTCGCGCGCACGCTGGACTGGCTGCGCGCGCACCTGCCTCCCTAAGGAGCCGCTAATGCCACAGGGCTCTTTTCTATCCTTCTTCCTTAAGCCGCGGAAGGAGCCTTGGCGTTCTTCTGCCTCCACCCCGATCCCACTTTCCTGTGTGTGGCCTTTCTGTCCCCAGCGCCGCCAGGTCTTGCGGGAAGAAGGGGGAAATTTTTTGAGTTGTCGCTTCTCCTTTAAGAAAAAAAACCCCGTCGACTGCCGGATGAAAGTCTCTGAAAAAATGGCGGCGGTAGAACAGAGGCGGGGTCGTGAGGGCAAGGATGGCCCGCCTCTTAGCGCATGCGCAGGGTCAACTTGTCAGAAGGCATCTTGGGAAATGAAGTCTCAAATATCCTAAGCTTTAGGAAAAAAAAAAAATGAGAAAGAAAGGGCGGAGAGGATGCTGGGAGGTTTTTGACTGATGCACGATGGGAAAGGTAGTTTACTTTTTCTGCAGTCCGCGTTTGCTCTTTCAGGGAGGTAGTGGTTCCGGGTTAGGCCGCGGCACCCGCACAGATCCGAGCAGAAATGGCAAACCAGTTGCTGGTCGGGATAGCTTGGGATGGTTTTCCCGACTTTTTAAGTTGGTGTTGGCGAAATATTTCTTGCTTGGCCACGTCAGTAGCCCTTAGTTCGGGTTGGTTACTCCGCACCTCCTAGCGTTCATGCCTGCAGTATTCGCCTCGTCATTCTGTGACTCACTAACCTGTGAGCTCCTGGAGGTCAGGGACAATCTGGATCTGTCAGGTGCTCGGGGCGGAACACAAATCCCACCACTCATTTGGGTCTTAATAAAAGTCTGGAAATTGTAAAGTTGCTGTTCTACTAAATGTTTTCGGTTCCAAGGAGCTGGCGTCGGCTGCTTAACTTGGCTGTGGTCGCTGGGCTGCAGGGAAAGAGGAAGGGGGAAGGGTTGTTAGCGTGATTCTGTGACCTACTCACAGAAACCGAAGGCCTCCTTCGTGCTCCCTGTCTCGAAGCCACTTGGCTTCTGTGGTTTTGAATGTTTCTGCTGCACAGGAAGCACAGTCAGAATAGCAGCTTTGTCAGAAATTACTTTTCTGTCCACTAGTGCGTGCAACTAAATTATCCTAATGCGTCAAATGGCAGTTTCCATTTGTTTTCCAACTTGCATTCAGTGACAGCAGTGGGTTTCCAGCATTCCTTTCATGCACTATAATCAAGGAGCGGTTTGAAAGAACGGTTCTTAACCCTGGAAAATAAAGCATCTGGGGATAACAACCCCCCCCCCCACACACACACTTACAGAAAGCGGATGGAAACAAGATCTCGGGATCCAGTTCTAAATTTCATATTAATCATTTATTTAAACTGCAGATACAGTCTAATATTTGCAAGCCAAGGGCTGAAGTGCATTTTTCCTTTCAGTGTTTTAGCTCAGTTACCACCACAGATTAGGCAAATGTTTTATATTCTCCAAGTATTCTGCACTTTCATAGGACCAGTGACATTTCAGTTGTAAAACTATTACGGATTAGTGAGGATGGGAATTTTTTCAAACCCATTTGGACTTTTGAAGCAGCCTTTTGGAACAGCACTGACATCCAATGGCTGCTTCAAGTAATGCAGAGCGGGAATCTCCTTTTTATTAAAAAAAAAAAAAATCAGCATCACAATGCAAAGGGAGAATGAATGATTCCTTTACATCACCCAAAAAAGGACCATGTATTGCAGAAGGAAGATCACAGGGATTGAAATTAAATCTGGGTTATAGTAAATAGTTAAGCTACCTGTAATTCTGTTATCTTTAGGAAGTTACTATCCCTTGAATCTATTTCACCACTGGTAAAAATGGAGATAATATTATGTTTCACAGAGCCATAATTATAGTTCTTTACATATTGCTATCTCATATTTGGCCTTTTGTAAATGTTTTATTTCATTCAAGGTGAGTAAAATCACAGTGGTAAAAAAGGTGAAAAAAAGTTAATCTCAGAGTCCCTTTTCAGAGAAACTGCTATTAGGCAACATAACTAGGCAGAAATTATCCTTCCCTGAGACATTTGCAGCTAAACACGTTGTGTCTTGTCTTCCAGTTTCATTCTTCATGATCACTATAAATGTTCGTGTTTTGGACCGCAGAAAGAACCAGTAGCCCCGAAAATCCAAATGTGACAGCTACTCTGCACTGCTTTTAATGGATTTATAGTCTATTCAGGAAAGCAGGTAAGCATAATTTCTGGATCATGAGTGAATAAAGACAGCAAAATGAATTGGTTGCTGGTTAACTCTGTTGGAAATTTTATGAAGGAAACCACTTCTGTGGTCATCAGTTTCACACACACACACACACTCACACACTCACATTCACACACATACAGCAGGTTTTCTGATGCACAGTCACAGTGGGAAACCCACACTGGGGAAAAACACAAGTGCAAGTCTGCTATCCCATGAATTCAAAATGAATCCTGGTGCATAGTAGGTGCTCAATTTTTTCAAAGTTAATTTTGAATCTCGCCCTCGCTAATGCACTAACAACTCAAATCCTACTACCCATCTTTCTATGTCCCATTTTCAAAACTCTAACTTACCAAAAAAAAAAAAAAAAAAAAAGAAAGAAAAGAAAGAAAGAGAACGAAAGAAAAAAGGAAAGAAAAAAAAAAACCTCACCAAATCAAAAGAGAGGAAGTGCTAAGCAAATACAGGAACCAAAAGGGTTATAGAGGCTGCTTCACGCTGTCTCACTCAGTTCCTTTGCGGTCCTCTTCTTCAGCCCATGCCACAGCAGTTCCTCACAACCTGTGGGACCAGAGCATCTTGGGTGTGTGACAATGGAAGAGTTGGGTGAGTGAGGACCTTCTTGGAGGAGAAACTCTGGGGGAATGAAGACTTGGCTGCCATCTCTGTGGTGGGGTGTACTTCTAGCCAGAGGGAGGGTGGTGCTGGAAGATTTTGCTTCCACTTCTCTCATGACCTCAGTCCAGCCAAGAGTGAAGCATGAGGAACTATGATTGCTTTGGGGAACTATCGGTTCACTCTTTTCAGTGGCACAAATAGGCTGAAAGTTGGGTGCTCACCAGGGAAAACTATGCACAAATACTTTTGGACCGAATTGTGATTTTATTATGAGTATTTGCCCCTTGGGGGCTGTTGCACGTCATAGGGTGGTCACACAGTTGGCACCTACAGATTTGTGATTTAGGAAGAAAAAAAGAAAAGGGAGAGGGATAAAGGGGGTGTTATAAGAAAAAGAAATGGAATAGAAGAACGAGAATGAGGGATCTATAAACGTTGGAGCAAGGCCAGGGTGGTTTCATTTGTTCCATGGTTTAGTATTAAATCAAGGAGAATTAGCGCTAAAACTCCAGTGATTCTGTTGCTAAGCTTTTTATTCAGAGGAATTCTGAAGTAACAGATTACTGTGGCCTGCAAAGATGATACTCTTTCCATTTCGAACAATTAAAACCAGCAGTGAAACAATTGGCCACATTGCTTAGACAGATCCTTGACTTCCAATCTTTGAAGTAATGGAAGGTTTGTCATTCTTGGGATTCATTCCTTATCCTTTGCTGACTTTTGTTGCTGGCATCCTTATTAACACTAAGTCACTAACCTTTTACTCAATTTCCAAGCTGTATTAATTACACAGTGTTCTGAGTTTTTGTATGTTTTGCGTACATCAAAAGTGTGAACAACCTAAAACATATCTTGCATATTGTCTTGGTGGTGGTGTTAATTGTTCGCAGCGTAATTTGAGAACTAGAGGAGCAGAGAGGAAGATAAGCAAATTATAGGAGGGAAGAGATGTTAATGAAGAAGGAAAGGTGGTATTTAATAAATATTAAACTGTTTTGGAGGTAAAGTCTATTTTGAAGCTTGGGATAGAAAGTATTTTGGACTTGGAGCAGAAACCAGATTCTTAACTCTGTGAGAGTAGGGAAGTTCACATTTCTGCCTGAGTTCAAAGTCCAGCTCCCTCGCATCTAGCCTTCTTTCTTATTTTAGCAATACCTAATGTCTTTTATGCGGGTAATTCAAAAGGGAAGTAATGCCTATTTAGTGACTTAAACTAAAACTTGACATTTTTGCATATATTAATCATGTTAATGTCTGAAGCAACTCTCTGAAATAACTATTATCTGCTTTGTTTTTTCTTCCAATGAGATAACTAAGAAGAACAATAAATATTTTCAGCATCACTCCCAGGAGCCCCTGACACCAAAACCGATTAAGCTACAAGGCAATCTCCTCTTTTAGCAGTGCATTGGCTACGGTGTTCCAACCAATAGAACAACCCATATAATTAAAAAAAAATTAGAAAAATTAGATTTGCACAGTTTTCCACTACTTGAGCAGGATGAATGGTAGAGGAATCTGGTCCAGAAATGTAGAACGTACCAAGCCACCTGGAAGGTGACATTCATGTAATCTATCTTTGTTCGGATTGTCAGTAGCTCAGTAACTACACAGATTTAGGGTTGGTCGTTCTTCCCAGCTGCAGAGATATAGGGTGCAAGACAGGTCAGCAAAGGCAGGCGGTATTTCCTTTTTGCAGTACTTCCTCCAACCTTGATGGTTTGTTTCTGTCCAGCAGATTTTACCTAAACTTTCATTACTCGGGGATGAAAAAGGGGAACCAGGAACAGATTCTGGCTCTGAATGAAATCATTCCAATCCAGTGAGATCCCCCCAAGAGACCTCACTTTATCCCTTTTATGTTATGTTGATGTTACCGGATTTCTGCAGATGAAGGGCTACAGGGAAGGACTACAGGGTTTTCCATCTAATACCTCCCCCCACCCCTTATAATCCCACATTTGTCATACTGAAATTAGTCATCTGCAAATTACGGGATCTGGCAGAAGGCAAGAAAATCTTGGGTGTTGGTGTTTTGTGCACTCCTAGGAAACAGGAAGAGAAAGCCCTGTTAACTCATGACCCAGAAGAGGGAGTTTCACTAACTTTGGTTCACTGATGCTTCTAAGGGTAACCTTCTCCTCTTAAGAGATATGGTTTGCTTCTCTTACAGAGAGTATCCCTTCTCCCCTAATCTTTACTATAAATGTCTTGTTATTTTGAATCCAAGAAGATCCATGAAGTCTGGTTGGAGCAAAACTTAGAAAATACAAAAGGACTATATCTTCGTAGAGGGGTATAGAACAAAAAATTGGAACCCAGAAGTTTGGCATTCAATCTGGCTAGTAAAGTTATGAGAAAATTAGTTTTTCTTTCTCTTTCCACATTAGTTTTTTTCTTTTTTCCTTCTTTTGAAAAAACGTTTGATTATGAGGAATTTTAAAATATACAAAAGTGAAGAAAATAGTTTAATGAAATCTAGTATACTCATCAACCAGCTTAACAATGATCAACTCTTGGCCAATCTTATTTCATTAATACACCCACCCATTCCTTTCAGTTCTGGATTATTTTAAAGCAATATCAAATATGTCATGTTCGTTGGTAAATATGTCCCTATAGCCCTTAATTTGCAGAAATCAAACAATGTCAAATAGTATAATCCACTGTTTTACAAACTTTTAAAAATCATGACCTGTGGTAAAAAAAAAAAAAAAAAAAATCCACCAGAGATCCACTAATAGGTCTCAGCCCCTAATTTGAAAAAAATTGTAATAGAATTGCTTGATTGTGTAGACGAGGAAACAGCTTCAGAGAAGATCATATCGTGCCAAGATGATCCTGAGAATCCACATCAAGATGGGGACTGAATGTTTGACATGAAGTTAGCGCAAGGGCTACAATCAGATAGCCTAGGATTAGACAGGATCTGCATCAGTAACAATGTGACACTACTTTTTTCTTTCTCTTTTTCTTTTCTTTTCTTTTCTTTTCTTTTCTTTTCTTTTCTTTTCTTTTCCTTCTTTCTTTCTTTATTTCTTTCTTTCTTTTTTTTTTAGAGGGAGAGGGTTGGTAGGGGCAGAGGAAGGGGGAGAGAGAGACTCTTAAAGCAGGCTCCACGGGGCCAGTCTCACAACCCTGAAATCTTGATCTGAGCTGAAATCAAAAGTTGGATGCTTAGCCAACTGAGCAACCCAGGTGCCCCAGTCTCTTTCTTGATCTATAAGATAAGGACAACAATATCACCTGCCTTAAAGCTTTAGGATGACTAAATGAAATACAGAAATTCCTGAGCATAGTGCCTGTAATGTGTAAATTTTTATTAATTATTATTAATTTCATTGTAACAGAAAAGTAGTTTGATACTTGTAAACTGCATTGGTTTTTTCCAAGAAAACTACAGCAGAAACAAATCTCAAGATTTGGATTGCAATGCCATCTTGCTTGATTTTGCAATATCTATTTTCTCCTTAATTTCCCCCTACCCTGTTTGTTTTTGTTTTTGTTTTTTTTTTACCTTATATGCCCTAAAAGACAGAATACTTCTACTTTGTTTTGAAAATTTTGTTCGTACTTGGGATATAAGAAAACAATAATCAGGGCTAAGAAAAAGCATTACTGTGTTGGTACATTTAGAAAAAAAAATTGTTATTATACTTTTCTGACAGGAAAAATATATAGGATTTCCTTTTTTTCTCAGTGGGGATCTTTGTGGGCAACCCACCCTAAATCAATGATAAAAATTAGTGCCCTGCAACATACGAAGTCAAATTCTTGGGAGATTCTGTGAAATTGGATGCAACCATAGAAAATAGGTCACATTATGTGGAGGCATTAAACATCCTCTGGGAGAATAGACCACATCTTGAAGTAAAATAAGAAGTAAGGGAAGATATTGAAGATAGTCTTAACCCAAGAGAGAAGTAGGAGGTGAATGGAGGCACATCGGTGATATTTAAGGGGGAAATCATCCCAGAAGAGGAATCATCCCATGTTATGTATTATGATTCTCTTATATCTTATGATATAGATGCCTTATTGGAGGAACTGGAGCACTCCACCCTCCAGGACAGTGATGAACCCTCCAGCCCAGCTCCTCTTCCCCTAGATCAGCGCTCCAGAAAGGACAGTGACCTCGCTGAGACTTCGGAGACCATTGTTCAGAATGATACACGTTCCTTGCCGGTAACTTTTCGTTTATTAGAGTACTTTAAATATACATAGTTTGAGTGCCTTTCTGAAAATTAATTGTATCTTACGTAAAGTGATGTGAAAAGAGAATCATGTATCCAGGAAAGAGAAAGAAAAATCCCTCTATGATAACTTGAAAGTTGTTGTTTTTGGAAAGGATGAGAATTCAGAAAATTATCAGAGAAGAATAAGCCTTTGAGAACTGAACTTTTTCTAATGAGGGCACGGGAACACGTTATTCCCTCGTTTACTCAGAATATTCTGGTATGACTGTCTGGGTATGAGAGCTGCATGTTGCAGTTTGACTGGAATAGCACTCACCAAGACTGGGGGGGGGGGTCACCTGGGCGAGGCCAAGTGACAGCTCAGACAAGTCTTATCAGCATGACTTTTTAAGGTCATAACTTTCCAGGTCTTATTTTCTGTTGAATGTATTAGGAAACTCAATTATTAGTATACCTACAGATGGTGATGCTCTAGGGAACCAACAACACAAATAAGCTAAACTTATAAAAATGATGTGTAAGAAAAACCCAGAAATCCAATTTAGTAATTTCTGGCTAGAGTCAAAACCATTCAAGTAGAACAGAGAATAGAATTTGCTGATACATATCTTCCCTTGCTGTTGGTCAGTCTACATGAATCTATTTTATAATTAGGAAGTTGCTTGATGAGAATGGAATTAGTTTAAGAGGAATTAAGTAGATACTCTTCATATGTGGTGCTTTGAACTACAATATTCTGATTCATTTGTGTACGCTTGGTATGAAATCACAGGTTGCGTGGACCTGAAGTTTGAGCTTGTGTTTTGTTCCCCCTTTAACTGTTCTTCCCTCCAGCTACATATACATGGTTTTAAGGATGCACATTTATTTCTCTGCTAGGAAGATACTGTCTTTTTTCCTCAATGCAAGATCATAGCCACAGGCTCTTAGCTGGTTTGCTACACTTGTCCCCTGCATTTTATTTTCAGAATAGCAGCCAGAGTGATCCTGTAAAACTTAGATCATGTCATTCCTCTACTCAGAACCCCACTGTGAATTTCCATCTGCATTTGAAGTAAAAGCCATGGTCTTGATGCCGACCTAAGTGGGGTGACTGTATGTCTTGGCTCACTTGGAAGAGCCCTGGGTTTTTGCTTGTTTTCTCAACATTCTGTTATTGGCTTTGCCATTTACCCTAGATTTCCCATATTTTATGAAGTTTTCTTATTAGTATTCCCATAACATAAACCAGCATGGGCTGATAGACCTCCGTTTGGCTCTTCTGGCTCCTTCCAACGTCTCATCTAGTAGCATGTGAAATATATTCAGTGAACAGAGTTCTAACTTTATTATGGCTCAATCCAAAAGATGGCTAATGATAACTCATCTCTTCTTTTCCTGATCCTATTCAGACAAATCCTAACTGGTAAGCACCCTTTCAGGGATAATATGCAGGGTGCTGTTTGTTAAAGCTAAGAGCTTAAGCACAGTCAGGAACAGCCAACTCCTCTGGTGTTAGGTGGTGGCAGGAAAACTTCTGAGGCTTTTCCTCCAGCTGGCCATTTGGTATACCACCGCTCATGTTCTTGAGATGCATGGAGCGTCCTCAGGGTCAGAGAACAATATGGGAACCTGTGGCTTAATGTCATACAAATTGTGTTTAGGAAATAGAGGCTAAGCATTGCCATTGAGTGTAGCATAATCTAAATGTTCTCGGTAAAGCAGTTTTGGCCTTAATTGTATATGTAAAGCTGTAGCTATTTTATTATTTGGCAATGCTTTTATTTTTGCAGTAGATGCTTTTAGCAGCATTTGGCTGAAACCAAAACCAAATCCAAAATTACATGTTTAATCTTCTCAAGAAATTGATGACGAATGTGTAATTTGCACAAAATATTTGCCAACATTTCCTGGCCGCCCTGGAGGCAATTGGAGAGGTTACTGCCCCCTTGGAAGACAGGAAGACACCGCTATGGGGAAGAAGCATCAGCCTCTCCTTCAGAAGTTAATAGTTTAAGAAGAGTGACCTGTACATGCTTTAACATGTACAGTTTATGCTTTAACACGTACAGTTGTAGGAGTTGTGTCTGCCTGTCAGAGGGAAGCACACCTTCCTGTTTGGATCAAGTGATGCCTGTAAATTGGTTTTGCTCATTTTCAGTTTGAAGGTATCTTGTGCTCGTAACTAAAGTAAACGTGACGATTGAGTTGGCTCCCTTTGTAAGCCACCAGATAATGTCAGCTTTATATCAATGCCACCTCAGTCAGAAGATTTGTTAATTCCAAAAACTGTTGTTTTTTCCATCCAATCCAAAGGATCTAAATAAAAATACTTGGACATTCATTCTTCTGTCAAAAAGAATTGAAACATCTGATAATGTTCATGCCGTGGTAAAAATTCAACATTGAAGACAGAGTGGGTGGGTGGGGGTGTTGGTGGTAATATGAATACAGGTTTTGGTGGAGTACAGATTTATGGTAAAAAAAAAAAATGTTCTTTACAGATGTAAAAACCTATAAAGCAGAAACATGCTTGGAATTGGTTGTGATGTGCACAAAATTCGTGACTGCCTCCAAAGAAGCTGCAGGATTCCACCAATCAAAATAGAAACTGCAAATGTCAAAATTTACAAATATGTACTTACACAATTGCAGCACATATATATAACTTGTCTACAAAGCTCTCGTGACAGAAGCCGATGTTGAATACAGAGACATGTCAGCATGGCTTCATAGGGTTTATCTGTGTCGCCTGTCATCCATCAGATTTTAGAAATGCCTGAGCCTTTGAAAAAATGCTTTGTAAAGCAACTTAAATATAGGTTGCATTATGTGCAAAATCAGTCAAAAATATTTAATCAAATTATTCAGTGAATGTAGCATGAAAATTCAGCTTTTGAAGCTTTTAGCAAGTTGCAATTATGTAAAACAAAGCTTGCAAAAAGGAAGGAGCTCAAATGTCTCTTGACAAAAGCTGGGAAGGAATTGAACAAGTTAAAAGATGGGAGCTCAAATGTCTTAATTACCTAATTTGAAAATTGTGCCTTGGAAAAATCTTGCCTTTGATGGAGTTTCTAATTTTAATTGGATAAATTTATATTCTCCACCAGAATGGGATGGAATTGTGAAGGCCTATGATTTTGCAGTATCTACATTTGGCCAAACGTTAAAAAGAATCATGAATAGAGACAACTTAAGAGCTCATCTTGTAAAAACATTACTGAAGAAAGGTGCTCTGAGTGGAGGCAGAAATATAGCACCTGTGAAAATACTGGGGTAGAAATATTCATACATTTTAATATGAGAAACAATTGAGGATATCCTCCATTTAGCAGAATATGTCCTGAACTTAGAGAATTAGCAGCAGTCAAGCAGGAGTATTTTCTCAATTTAAAAAATAATGGTTTACAGAGAAACATCAATTAAAAGTGTCAACAACTTCAAAATATATTAACCATAAAATGCAGCTCTGCAGAAGTTTGCAGAGTTTTTATTTTTTATTAAAAACTATGAAAATAATAAGATCATATTTTTTAAAAGTTATCTTTCAAGAATGAAACCAAGGAAAAAAAAAGATATCTTTCAGAAAAATTTCTGCATCACAACGTTAGAGACAACAATGGCTAGGTAACCAATTAAGGTATGTGAGTCTATATCAAGAATAATTATTTATTGTGCTGTTTAAAAATATTTGAATAATTAATATAAAAGTTTTGTTTTGTTTTGTTTTGTTTTAATTATTGTTTAGGGGCAACTGTGTGGCTCATTTGGTTAACCATCTGACTCCTGATTTTGGCTCAGTTCATGATCTCAGGGTCATGAGATGGAGCCTCATGTCAGACTCCTCACTCAACCAGGGAGTCGGCCTGAGATTCTCTCTCCTTCTCCCTCTGCCCCTCCCCTGCATTTGCTCACTCTCTCTCTCTAAAATAAATAAATCTTAGAAGAAATTGATGTTTACAGCTACATGTCATTTAAAAGTATTCTAGAAAATTTTATTTTGAAAATGGGTTTTCGGGGCATCTGGGTGGCTCAGTCGGTTAAGCCTCTGCCTTCGGCTCTGGTCATGATCTCGGGGTCTGGGATCAAGCCCTGCATTAGGCTCTCTGCTCGGTGGGGAGCCTGCTTCCCCCAATCTTTCTCTGCCTGCCTCTCTGCCTACTTGTGATCTCTGTCAAATAAATAAATCTTTAAAAAAAAAAAAAAGAAAATAAGTTTTCAACAGAAGTATTTTGTAGGTTCATCAATACAATAAAACCAAATTTTTAGTCAATAAATATATATTTTAAAATTATGTGGTATTATTTTTGGTACCTTCCCCTCATTCACTTTCAAGAACATCCCAGTCTGAACAATAAATTATATGGTCACCCTACCTGCTTGATCTGGCCCCTTTTACTCCCATCCTTGTCTCACCAGTTCACTGTGCAGGCTACCCTGGCCTCCTTTCTGTTCCACAGAGGGCTCCCTGGACCATGTTCCCTCTGAAATCTGCTTACATTTCTCACCTTCTATGAGTCCTCACTCAAGTGTCACCTTCTCTGTGAGTCCTTCCCTGATCAATATATTTTTAATTGCCATCTCTCCCCCATTCCTCATCTCCCACCTTCTGATGAGTTTTACGTACTAATAGATTTATTCTTTTTCTTACTAATTTTTTTTTTTATTATTACCTATTTCTCACCACCATAGTGTAAGGTTAGGGCAGACAAGTTTTGTTTGTTCATTTGTTTTTCAGCTGCTGCATCCCTGGCCCTGGCACATGACAGGCACTCAATCAATATTTGTTCAATAAATAAATGAGCTGCTGGTCAACTATCCTTTAAGGACACACATTATTATTATTATTATTATTATTATTTTGTATGTTAAATTTAGTCGTGTTGTAGTTTTCCCCTAGACACCATCCTGTCTAGTTAAGGGGCTTTGTTCTGATTCATTTTGTTTATTTATTTATTTGTTTGTTCTTAAAGATTTTAAAAAAATTTATATATTTGACAGAGAGAGATCACAAGTAGGCAGAGAGGCAGGCAGAGAGAGAGGGAAACAGGCTCCCTGCTGAGCAGAAAGCCAGATGCTGGACTTGATCCCAGGACCCTGAGATCGTGACCTGAGTGGAAGGCAGAGGCTTAACCCACTGAGCCACCAGGCCCCCCGTTCTGATTCATTTTGTTTGTTTTGTGGTTCCTATGTAAGTACGATCAACTTCCCGATTTCTTGCTTTGGGGGCAGGGAGAGGGACACTATTATTTGTTCCCATTGCCAACTGCTCTGCTTAGAATGTGGCCTTTTGCTGTAGGATGGCTGGTATTCCTCTGCCTTGTGAATGATCTCAGAGATATGCTAGTTATCAGTCCCATTTAGAAGCTAAAAACATCCTCTAATTCGGGGTGTAGATGAGTGCCAACATTATTCTAAAGACACTCATTCTCTGCTCTTCTCTGTCACTTATATGTCTTAGGTACAGCTCGTGTATACGACCCATATCCAGGAGCCCAATATCTACAGGTACGTTTTTTTATTAAATATTTTTTAAAAAGTTAATGTTATGAGATAATTGTTATCCATCCATGTTTGGACAACAGTTTGCTTTAGCCTGTGTTCATTATTAGACTCCAGCTAAGTCCCTCGTCCTCTTCCACAGTGTTTGAGCAGAGGTGGAATTCTGCCAAACTCACCTGGCAGTTACTCAGGGTATGTGGCTTCTAGATGGGCTGTCCAGGCTGGTGGGCTCTGCTGTTTCCTTCACCACCTGAAAAAAGTGTAAATAGTTCGAGTCACCCCATATGTTTCGGCCGGGCCACTAGAAATAGCATGCTCCAGTTCATGGAAGAGGAAACACCTAACAAAATTTCAGCAAGATGCCAAAACCAGATCTAGGATCAGTGTCAGACTGAGACAAGAGGGTCTCTGCAGCAGAATACCGAAAATATACTTCTAATGAATCGGTACTTCTTCTTTCTATATTTGCTCAAGATGTATTTAGCCGGGGAAGGGGGTTTCCTTTTAAAAACGTTATGTACTGAAACTGATCCACTTACTAAATCGTTTCTGCTGGCCAAGGCTGCTTTTCTTGTTCTCTCTTCAGGTAGTGGTTGTAACTTAAAAAAAAAAAAAAAAAAAAATCAGACAGCTTTCTGGGAAACAAATTGAAGGGCTTAACTAATTAAAAGGGAAACAAGATAACAAAGGTTCATGCTGGTAAAGAGTATCACACCACACCTTATTTGGTTCTAGAATTGCTGCCAGTAGTGCACACATAGGACGCCAAATAAGGGAAGGACCTGTGTTATCATGAAGTCTTTTTATAACTTCCCACCTGAGGACACTTTCTACTTCGATGGGAGTAAGGCCAGTTTATTAATATAATTTCCAGTTTATTCCAGTTCCAGGAGACTGCCTAGTGGGATGTCCCCTAGACAACCTTGTCCATCCTTTTTGTAAAAAAAAAAATAAAATCAAAATAAGCAAAACAACAACAAAATAGTGCCTGGCATGCATAGGCTTTCCCTAAATACTGACTTTTAAAAACTAGGATACCAGGACTTCAGTAGAAATATTAGTGACCACAGGCCTGCAGAACGTAAAAACCAGCATGACCAACAGCGATTTTCCTGTGTATCTGGCATTGTGATCAATTGATGGCATGCCAGTGTCTAAGTCTTTTGATCTTTTTCCCACTGGACCCATTTCTTTCTCTTTTCTTGGTCTGCTCTGTATTCCAGGGGAGCTGACCCCTGTTGGCTTTCTCCAGGCTTCGACCCGTGGGAGGCACTGTGCCGAGAGCTGGAGGGCAGAAGGCAGGGCAAGCAAGTCAGGACAGGTCCTCCCTTAGTTTTTCCACCGCATCGTCATCCCAGTCAGCAGCTACACCTCATTTATGGCTTTGGCTAAAGCAAGACCCATCTGCTGCAGTTCCAGCATGTGCCTATCTGCTTTGGCTCCTGGCTTTTAGCAACTTTGCCTTTTGTTGTTGGTGATGGTCGTGGTGGTCCCTTTGGCCTAATGGCTACCTGCTGTGGCTAATCTCTGAGTTACTTTAATATCTTTTGTTTGCTTCTTTAGTTCTGCCATCACCTGTGTAATCAAACTTCTGGATTGAATTCCTTCTGCTTACTCCCAGTGTGTTTGCATTTTCCTGAGTGGGCAGTGACTGATTTACCTCCCCAAGTAGGGAGTGATACTTGCCCTGTCGATCTGCGTGGGAGACTGATAGGAAATCCAGGTGGTCTTGTCAATATGTAATAGACTGATGCAAATCCCTATGACTGGCGTAACTCAGAGCTGATAAGGCTCCCAGGTACAGATAGCGCTTGAGACTGAGAAACTAGACTCCCACATTCTGTGTCCACCATTTCCTTCAGCTTGCTTAAGTGGACTGAGTGTTGCTCCCAACCTTGAAACTGTATTCAGTACTAAGTGATGCGATCGTATTTCTAGTGTAGTTATATATCAAGAGCAATATGAACAATAATTTAGAAATGTGCACATGAACAAAAATAATTTTGGTAAGAATATGGAGAAAAAAATTCATAAAAAAATTACGGAGGAGTGAACGGGAAAACTCCAGCACAGAGAAGCCCCTCACGTGAGGAGTCTGTATTCTTTTAAACACATCTCTTGTTTTTGGATCTTATTAAAATCTCTGACTCATGAATTAGACTGTTGTTCGTGACATAGCGAAGCAATTTTACCATCTTCAAGATGTGAGGGGACACCTCAAAGGAGCTTTGATTTCGAGGTTCCTCTCTTTTTTGGAACACTTCCTATAGTGATGTAATCACCAACTCTTTAAGGCCTTTCCATTCTTATTTAGAATATTATATTGTTGACTCAGGTACTATTAGGTTATCACAAAAATGGTCTACTTCTCTTTCCTTCCTGCTCTAGGACTCTTGCTAAAAATCGGTAAGTATTTTTTTTTTAGTAAGCACAAGGATACCCCACCTGTGAGATGGACAGGTTTTTAGGACCATACAGACCCAGACAAGAAGCTACATTTAAGGGTGCCTGGATGGATCAGTCGGTTGAGCATATGCCTTCGGCTCAGGTCATGATCCCGGGTCCTGGAGGGCTCCCTGCTTGGTGGGAAGCCTGCTTCTCCCTCTCCTACTCCCCCTGCTTGTGTTCCCTCTCTTACTGTGTCTCTCTCTGCCAAATGAATAAATAAAATCTTAAAAAAAAAAAAAAAGCCACATTTATTCTACAGGGGGAAACAGAGCAGAGAGTGTGCTGACAGTCCTGCTGCTTTTGTACTTTCAAGACACATGCCTATGGCAGCAAGGACTAAGGGATTATGATCCCAAAGTGTTGTAAGGAGCTCCCTGCACTTTCTTGGACTCCTTCAAGGACCAAATCAGGCACGTGCATACCTGACCATTTTTGTTCCTAGATTAAACAAATAAACAAAAAAAATTGTGCCTGGCAGGAGACCATGTTATACCTAAAAGACAAAATCTTTTATCTTCAAAGGGGAAGGTACCCACTTCCTTCTACTTTTTTCTTATAGCTAAATACTCAAACATAAGTAAATCAGTAGGGGACATGTGGTACCCAAAAGATAGTCTTTTTTCTTTAAGAGGAGAAGTTGTTTTCCTTCTGCCTTTTTGCTGGTTGGTAAACACACACAAATAAGTAAACTAGTACATCTATGTTTTCATTTTTTGAAAATATTTAGTGGAAGACTTACAATATTTGGTTTTACTTATGGCTTTGTGTGCATGTGTGTTTGTGTAAATGTGTGTGTGAGAGAGGGAGAGAGAGAGAGGGAGGGAGGGAGAGTCAGAGTCAGTTTGGTGGGTTGTTAGCTAAGCTTTGTTAATGCTGATTACAGCATTACTCCAGAGTCTGTTACCTTTATGATTCAGTGTTTCCGCTTCTCAAAATTTACTCTATGGAAATAATCAGATATGGATGCAAATATTTATATACTGTATTATAACAGTGAAAATCAGAAACAGTCTAGCTGTCTAATGACAAGTGGTTTAATAAATTATGGTACATTCTACATTTGAAAGCTGGATAACTTTTAAGCATTGTTTTGGAGGACAGTTGAACATGGTATTAGAGATGATAAGCTTTGCAGTCTATAGGCCCAAACTCTGTTATTTACCAGCTGTATTATATGGAGCAAAGCTTTTTACTTCTCTAAGCCTCAGTTTTTTCTTCTGGGGGTAAGAATACCTAACTCTTAAGGTTGTTATTAGTATTTAGGGAAAACATGTGTAAAACCCTTTATGGAGAGCCTGGTATAGGGTGGACAGTAAGCACTAGCCATGAATGCAACGTTGGATAAGAAAATAAAGATTTGGAAAATGTTCACTTTAAGATATGAAAAAAGGTCATTCTAATTTTCCAAAATTAGGCACAATCATAGAAGGGCATAGTTGGTGTAAGCCAACATGTCCAGAGTAATTAATTGCCTCTCAAAAGAAGGATTATATGTGATTTTAATTTTTTCTTTATATTTCTCTGCAGTTTTAAAATTTTCTATACTTACATGAACTTTATATTTAGCCTTTTAATAGTAAAAATAACTTCAATAATTCAGGAATATACAGAGTAAAAAGTTAGACCACCTCCCTTTGAATGTATCCTCCTACCACCTAATTGCTATCCCCGTAGATAACTGCTGTCAGATATGTCTCCTTACACACCTTTGTGTATGCAAAATCACACTTATGTATATGTGCTTATAAATTTACATGAATGGAAGGATAGATTTCATATTGTTGTGAGCTTTGCTTTTTTAAGTTAACAATGTATCTTAGAAATCTTCCTTAGTTTGTGGCACCTGGATGGCTCAGTTGGTTAAGTGTCTGCCCTTTGCTCAGGTCATGATCCCAGGGTCCTGGGATCAAGTCCCACATTGGGCTCCTTGCTCAGTAGGGACCCTGATTCTCCCTCTGCCTGCTGCTCCCCCTGTTTATGCTCGCTGTCTCTCTGTCAAATAAATAAAATCTTAAAAAAAAAAAAGACATCTTCCTTAGTTCATATAAATCTATGCCTGCATTCTTTTTAGCAGCTGCATAGTATGCTTTAGCATGTATCTATAATTTATTTAACTTTATGGCCATTTATTTTATTTTTAATTTGTTCATAAAGACTGTACTTTTTTATGTCTTAAGGAGCATACTTATACATACGCCTTTGTATGTATACTCCATTTTTTTGTAGGATAGAATCTTGGAAGTGAAATTGCTGAATCCAAGGATATATGCATATGAAATTTTGGTAGATACTGCCTCGAAAAACATTTATTAAAATTTACATTGCTATCTACGATATATGTAAATGCATATGTGTAAATAATCCTGACTTTTGCCAACACTGCATGTTTAACAATCTTTCACATTTTTGACTAATGAGTAAAAATTGGTGTCTCAGTATTTAATTTGCATATTAAAGATTGGGATTGAGCATATTTTCATATAGTAATAAACATTCAAATTTCTTTTTCTGAAACTTGTATTTTTTTCTTTTAATTCTAAGCCCGTGTTTCTATTAGCGTGCCTTATTGATTTGTCGACTTTTTATTATTTGGATATTGTTTATGTTTTAAATATTTATATGTGTTCAAATTTTTTTGAGATTAGCCGTATTGATATTTTTTCTTTTTTGGCTTCATTTCAGAGTTTTATGCCTTTCTTAGGAAAGTCTTCATCACCCCAAATAATAAAAAATGTCCCCCATTTTCTTTTAGTACTTTAATGTTTAAACACAGTTATGTCTTTAATTCATTTAAAACTTATTCACGTGTAGCATTTGTTAAAGATCTAAATTTATTGTGTTTCAAATAGGTTGTCATGCATTTTGTGTCTAATAGTCTGTTTCTGATTATTTGAAATGCCGTATTTAGCATATGCAAAATTCTCATGGTTCAGGAGTCTGTTTCTGGGCTCTCTCTCTTCCATTCCTTTGATCTGTTTGTCTGTTTCTTTACCAACATGACACAAATTTTATTGTCACTTTATAGGAAAGCACATCTATTGGACAGGTCTTCCCTCTTGATCTCTCTCCCCCGCCCCAAATTATCTCAAGCATTCTAGCCCATGAATTTTAGCATCAGCTTGTTAATGAACTTGAATAATTCTATTAGGACTTCTGTATGAATTACATTGAATTTATAGTTTAATGGGAGAAACTAACATCATATTATGCATCATCATTTATATGCATCTTGTATGCCTACCAACGGGTTTTTCTTCATAGAAGTGTTACATATTTCTTTTTTTTTTTAAGATTTTATTTATTTATTTGAGAGAGAGAGAGAGCACATGAGAGGGGAGAAGGTCAGAGGGAGAAGCAGACTCTCCGCGGAGCTGGGAGCCCGATGCGGGACTCGATCCCGGGACTCCAGGCTCATGAACTGAGCTGAAGGCAAGGGCTTAACCAACTGAGCCCAGGTGCCCCATCTTACACATTTCTTGTTAGAGTGATTCCTTAATATTTTATAATTTTTTTCTTGGTATTGTGAACATGTTCTTTTTTCCCAGTGGATTTTCAAATTGGCTACTACTGGTCTATAGGAAAGAGACTAATTATTTCATTTTATTCTTCTTTTAGTTTTAATTTTTTTTTTTTTTTTTTTTTTTTAAGTAGGCTCCATCCCCAGTATGGGGTTTGAACTCATAACCCCAAGATCAAGAGTCACATGCCCTGTGGCCTCTGGGCGGCTCTGTCAGTTAAGTGTCTGGCTCTTGATTTCTGCTCAGGTTGTGATCTCAGGGTAATGATCGCAGGGCTCCAGGCTAAGCATGGAGTCTGCTTAAGATTCTCTCTCTCCCTCTGCCCCTCAGTACTCCCCACTCTCCCCACACCCTAGCTCATGTTCCCACATACGTGCTCTATCTTTAAAAAAAAAAAAAATGTCACATGCTACCCACTGAGCCAGCCAGGCACCCCCTCATTTTATCCTTGTACCTAGTAACCATCCTGATATTTTCTATACATTCTAATAAATATCCAGTCATTTACCCTATATTTTCCAGGTAAGTGATCATACCATCTATTTAAAAGAGAAAATAGAAATGAGAATTGCTTTGCTTTTTTTCTTTTCAGTATATAAATCTCTTATTTGTATTCTCAAATGCATCCAGTAAGTCAGTCTGCAATAAAATTATAGACCATCAATGATAGTAGGATCCTTGTCCTTCTCTTCTCTCTCTTTTTTAAAGATTTTATTTATTTATTTTACTTTAGAGAGGTGGAGGAGGGGGACAGGGAGAGAATCTTTTTTTAATTTTTAATTTTTTTTAATTCTTTTTTTTCTTTTAAGATTTTATTTATTTATTTGACAGAGGGAGAATGAGATCACAAGTAGGCAGAGAGGCAGGCAGAGAGAGAGGGGGAGGCAGGCTCCCCACTGTGCAGAGAGCCCGAAGCAGGGCTCGATCCAAGGACCCTGGGTTCACGACCTGAGCCGAAGGCAGAGGCTCAACCCACGGAGCCACCCAGGCGCCCCCCGCAGGGAGAGAATCTTAAGCAGACTCCCTGCTGAGCTCGGAGCTCTTTTTTTTTTTTTTTTTTTAAGATTTTATTTATTCATTTGACAGAAAGAGACACAGCAAGAGAAGGAACACAAGAAGGGGGAGTGGAGGAGGGTGAAGCAGGCTTCCTGCTGAGCAGGGAGCCTGATGCGGGACTCATGTGGGCCTCTATCCCAGGACCCTGGGATCATGACCTGAGCCAAAGACAGATGCTTAAGGACTGAGCCACCAAGGCGCCCCAAGCACAGAGCTCTTAATTAGAAATGTGTTTATTATTTGACCATTAAATATGAGGCTCATTATAGATTTTATATTTTATCAGGTTATGAAACTTCTTTTCCGTGGGCTTCAGCAATAGGAATTGTGGTAGAATTTGTTTTCTATTGCTTTTCAGCATCTATTAATATGTTTATAAAGCTTTTTCCTGTTCTTTTTTTTTTTTTAATTACTTATTTATTTGACAGACAGAGATCACAAGTAGGCAGAGAGGCAGGCAGAGAGGAGGAAGCAGGCTCCCTGCCAAGCAGAGAGCCCGATGCGCTGCTCGATCCCAGGACCCTGGGATCATGACCCGAGCCGAAGGCAGAGGCTTTAACCCACTGAGCCACCCAGGCAGCCCGCTTTTTCCTGTTCTTGAGTGTAATGATTTATAGTAATCCTTTTTCTAATGTTGAACCATGCATGAAACACTGGCATGACACTATATAGCCAGGATATTTTAAAAACTCATTTCTGCTGTTTTTACCCTCCCAGCCTCCCCGACACACAGGCTCGCGCACACACACACGTACACACATACACTATGCAGTTTTTGTCTGGTTTTAGTATTGAGTCTCTGTGATATTTACGGAACTTATTTGGTGATTTTCCATATTTTTCTATGTACTTGAAATTTACATAATGCTCCCCAAAACCTCACTTTCTGTTTGTTTTCTGTTTCAATAATTTATGCTTTTAGTTCTTCTGTTAAATTATTTTGGTTTTGTTTTGTTTTTAGATTCTTGAGTTGGATGTTTTATTTGCTTCTAGTGTCTTATTTTTCAGTATCGCACTTGAGTCTGTTTGTACTTTTTCCTGTTAATAACATATTGGTGGGCCATGTGGGTGGCTCAGTTGGTTAAGTGTCTGCCAAAGGACCCTGGGATCGAGTGTCATATTGGGCTCCTTGCTCAGCGGGAAGTCTGCTTCTCCCTCTCCTTGCATGACACGCACTCTCTCTGACAAATAAATGAATACGATCTTAAAAAATGTATTGCTTCGCCTCTGAAGGGTGTGTGTGTGTATGTATATGTGCTTTCATTGCTATTTCTAAATAGGTTGAAAGTTCAATTAATTTTTTTTCTTCGTCTCAAGAATTATGTGGAATTGCTTTATTTTTTCTTAAGTGGGTAGATTTCTTGTGATTAACTTGTACTGTAATTTGTACTTAGGATTAATTTGTACTTATTAAGCAGGTAGATTTCTTATGATTAATTTGTATTAAAGCAATAGAAGAATATGGTGTGTATGATTTACTTCTTAGAATTTATTGAGCTTTTATTCTGTGCTCTCGTACACAATTAATTAGCTAACAAATTAACACCTGGGATGCCTGGGTGTCTCAAGTTTGTTAAGCATCTGCCTTTGGCTCAGGTCGTGATACTGGGCTCCTGGAATCAAGCCTCGGGTTGGGCTCCCTGCAGTGGGGAGTCTGCTCCCTCTGCCTGTCACACCACCCCCTGCTTATGTGCTTTCTCTCTCTGACAAATAAATCTTTAAAAAATTTTTCTAGCAATTGGGCAAATGTTTGAATAGACTCTGTATTCTGTTTTTTGGGTCCAAATTTTAATCATCAGTTTATTCACAATTATATGGATGTGAAACCAACATCATGTACATTGTCTAAACTCTTATCAGTGGTCTTTTTCGGTAAAGGGCAGACAGTAAATATTTAGAACTTGGACCATGAGGTCTCTGTTGGAACTATCCAACTCTGTAAGAAAGCAGCACTGTGTAAAGGAATGGGCATGGCCGAATTTGGCCCATGGACCTTAGCTTGCTGATGCTTGCTCTTTATTCTTACTTAGTTTTTAATCTTTTGCCGGACAGTGAGAGAAAGTGTAATACTTTGTAATTTCAAAAAGAATGCTTTGAAAATAAAAAATGTATGTCGGGCCATTGTCTTCTTAAAGGTCTTTTTAGAAGCTACTTTGAACCTGACTCTTGGGGGAGAATGGCCTGCCAGCCACCCGTCCAGCACTTTTCTTCATGCACTTGAGAACAATGGTCAGCTTTTGAGATGACCAGAAAAGAGATATAGAGACAAACGGCAGGGGGACCTTATTCAGATTTTTAGTCCACTACCTATTTTTTTTTTTAAAGATTTTATTTATTTATTCAACACAGAGAGAGATCCCAAGTAGGCAGGGAGGCAGGCGGAAAGAGAGGAGGAAGCAGGCTCCCTGCTGTGCAGAGAGCCCAATTCGGGGACTCAATCCCAGGACCCTGAGATCACAACCTGAGCCGAAGGCAGAGGCTTAGCCCACTGAGCCACCCAGGCCCCCTCTACTACCTATTTTTAAATACTTTCTTTCTCTAGTTTTATTCACATCTAAGCCGTTAATAGTTAAAACTGCATTTTCTGGTATTTTATGTGTGGCTTAACATTTATCTGAGTTTCAATGTGTTAGGATTTTTTTTTTCTCTCCCTGTAGTAAGGTCCAAGAGCCAGAGGAAGCCTCACATCCCCCTAAAACCTCAGCAGCTGCTCAGCTGGATGAACTCATGGCCCACCTGTGTGAGATGCAGACCCAGGTGAGCACAGTTCCTGAGTATGTCTCCACAGAGCTCAGCTCTGCTGTCCCCTTTCGGAAGTTTTGGTTGTCATTAGTTCTCCCAGCCTAAGTTTAATTCAGGGATGGACTCAACTTTGTGTTGTGTATTATCTGGACACAAAAGATAACGAAATGCAGGCTCTGATCTCAAGGAGTGCGGAATGTGCTTGGTAAAACGAAGCAGAAACCCATGTAACATTTGTGGACTAAAACACAGATGGTGTATAAAATATGTGCAGCCGCTATTAAGAATGTGGAGACTTTATCAGAGCTGGGGATGGGATGTGGGATGGATTCTGAAGAATGGAAAGGGTAGAGACACAAAGAGATGAGAGAAGAGGCTCTTCCAGTTGGCGTGAGCCCTGAGAGCAGAGGCATCCTAAGGCTGGATGCAGTGCGCAGGACCCAGGGAGACCTGACTGTGTGGGACAGAGGCGGCGAAACGGAGGCTCAGCCAGCAAGATCAGAGTGTGGCTTTGAAAGCAGGGAGGATGAGGAGTCCTGAGCCCCATACAGAGACAAAATCCGCCTCCTCATTCTAGCCTCTGGAGCATGAGTGGTGAGCTCATGTGCCCTGGCAGGGGGATGGAAATCAGAGAACTGGGTTTAATAATTTGTTAAGGGAAATCATCTAGAATTCTTAAGGTGGAGAATTCAGTCACTCTGAACTGATTGGAGGATTTGGTATGCACACATAGTGACTATGAAATAATTGTGAGGCAGTATATAAAAAAGTGTGTGACTGGAGAGGTCAGGAGCCCGATCTTTGTGACTCACCTGTGGACTCCCAGTGCCTGCAAAGTTCCTGACACATTAAAGGAACAAGTGAATGAACATCAGAAATAATTTTTCTTTAGTGCCTATAATAAAGCTGGGTGCATTCCTCATTGTATCATATATCTGACCATACTGGGGAAAAAATCTGCATTAGGAATTTTAATTGTGTTTCCTAATTAACTTAGCATGTGTCGCGGTTTATTTACATTTTTAAGATATCTGTTTATTTTTTGAATGAGCCCCATGTTCACGTTGCACAAAAATCGAAAGTACAAAAGTTTGCAGTGAACTATTTACCTATCAGGCCTGTCCCCACTCCTCCAGTTCTGAACCCTGTTTCTTATATATTCATTTGGAAGTATTCCGGAATCTGTAAACAAACAGATGGAGATATGGATAGATATATGTGCGTGTGTTTGTATATGTGTATGTCCATATAAAATTCTGTTTTTACCTACTTCATGTTGATGACCCTTTTGGACTTTCTAGACGGTAACCTTTGGAACACAAATCTCTTCAACATTAAGTAACATTATATAATAGAGGAGGAAGGAAATCTGTCAGTTGATAAGTTTCTTGAAGGGAAATGAGCATTTTGGATGAGTGAGATAATGTGAGGTTATTCCTGGCAGTAAAAATAGGATACATAGAGGCCTCAGGGCAGACAGTAACAAATCACATTCAGGAGACTGCAGGGAGCCTGGCTGGCCTCAAACAATGGAGGCTTTTAGTGAGTAATGAAAGAGGAGATTGGAAAGGTAAAGCGAGGGCAGCGGATGGGAGACTTCGAATGTCTGTCTAGTGCGTGCAAATCTGATGTGGTGGAGGCCGTAGAGAGCACCTGTTTCCTGATCAGGAAGTATTAAGTCAATGGGAATAGTAGCCCCGTCGGAAGGGAGTTGAGAGAGAAAATCGGGATGTGAACTGATGAAGGACAAGCTGGGCATCGCATCTTTTTTATAATTTGAGACTTTTCTTTTGAGTGGGTTCTAATAACTATTTTGGGGGGTTTCCTTAAATAAATCCAATCCATCAGTTAGTCTTACCAGCTTCTCATCACCTTCTCTGCTAACACTGGACCAAGTCACTATTTCTGGTTTGAACTGTTAACAATAATCTCCTTCCAAGCTAGGGTCTCTGATTCCACTCTTGCTTGCCCACACATAACTCCTCCCTCTGCTACCACAGGGATCTTGTGGGTCAGATTCTTTCCCTCTCATGCCTGAACCCCTCTGGAGGCTCTATCACCCTTGGAATAAAACCCGAGTTTACCATGAGGGCCCCACACGATCTTTGCCTCTCTCTCCATCACCTTCTCCTGCCATGCCTACCCCCTCTCCCTCTGTTCCAGCCCCCGCACCCCAACCTTTCTGACTTTTCTCCTGAATACCAAACTGTTCCCTTCCTCTGGGCCTTCCTTCCCTCTGGAGTGCTTTTTCTACCAATTCAATATTTCTGGGCCCCTCAGTACATCTGTGCAAATGCCAACTCCTTAGAGGGCCTTCTCATCTAAATCAGTTCTCTTTCACTGTCTCACCCTCTGGCACTTCTATCTTGATATATGACTTATGTCTCATGTCTGCCTGACACCACATCATACATTTATTTAATCCATGTATTGTCTGTCTCCCAGAAAAGCAAACTCCATGACGGCAGACTTTCTTGGTTGCCATGTGCATTGCTCTATACCAAGAGTCTGGAACTGTGACCATCACAAACTAGGTGCTCAATAAACACTGTAGAATAAATGGGCAAAAAGAAGATACAAGTAATTGTTGACCTGTGGTCATTGAAGGAGTGAGGAAAGGTAGCATCTTCGTGCACTCAATTTCCCATGGTCAGAAAAGATTTACAAATGGAGGAAGATTACTGGTGTTTCACCTGGCCTGAGGAATTGAGGATAAAAGGGAGATGGAAGCATTTTTATTGGTGTTACAATGTTGGACTCTTCCAGTGCCTTGGATGGAGGTTGGGTATGGAAGAAAACATTAGTCTATAGAGGTGAGCTTAAGGGGTCATGTAGCAGATGCCAGTGAGGGCAAATATTCATGAGACTGATTGTTTTTCATGGTTCTTTCCCTGGTGCCAGGTTGCAGTGAAAGCAGATGCCAGCAAGAAACACCCAGCGAATAAGCAGGATCCCAAGGCCTCCCTGGACTCAATGCTGGGGGATTTGGAGCAGGATCTGCAGGACCTTGGAGTTGCCACAGTGTCCAAGGGCCACTGTGCTTCCTGTCGGAAACCGATTGCTGGGAAGGTGTGATGGGCCAGGGTGTGGGTCCTGTAGCCAGCTGTCTGCTGTCCCACCAAGGATTGTTCTGTCACTTTCTAAGATGTCTTCATGGTAGCTAGTAATCACTCATCCCTTACAGTGCTCTGGGCACTGAGCCGAGTGCTTTGCAAGTATGAGTATAAAGACTCGTTTTTTTAAAATGAATCATTTCATTAAATGAAGTTTTACGAATGAAATGAAATGAATTTTATTAAATTCATTATTAGATGAATAAAAGATTCATTTTATTAAATGAGTATGAAGATTCATTTAATGGTCACATCAACCCTGCAAGGGAGACTGTATTATGGTTCTTTTGTAAAGACGAGGGAACCAAGGGCTCTGGGTTGATAACTGACATGTCCAAGTCCAGAAAGAGGTAGAGGGGAGATTTGAACCAGGAGAGCCTAACTCCTAAGTGTGACTCTTAACTGCTTTTCTGTACATCCGGTCCTGGGAGGGACTTTCCTGTGGCCCCTCTGTCCCAAAGTTCGCAGTCAAGTTGATTAATGGTAACTTTCAGCTGACTCAGCTCCAACTCATAGCCACAGACTCCCACTCTACATCATCCTTCACCAAAACCACAATAGAGGGCTCTGAGCCCTGACTCAGAGTGGGGCAGGAGTGAGGTGCTCAGACCAGAGGAATAAAACTCTCATTTGGCCTTTTCCTCTTCCAGGGATCCCTTCCAGGCCAGAATGTAGTTACCCCTCCCTGTCTGTCTCTACTATTCTCAGGTTTGGTTCCCCCACCCTCCAGAGCACCTAATGAACACCTACAGACTTTTATCAGAATGATTAGTCAGAAAACTGGGCACCCTTTTACTATCCGTAAAGCATGGACAACAGACCCCGTAGAAGGGACCTAGAAGGGTCTAGACCTCCATGTTAGGTCACCCCAGGAGGTGCCGTTTGCGTGGAATAATGTGGGAAAAGTGCTGTCCCAGATTGTGTGACCAGTAGGCCCTCCAGCCCCCAGCTGCCGTGGCCTGCCATGCTTTATTTCGTCCCCAGGTGATCCATGCTCTAGGGCAAGTGTGGCATCCAGAGCACTTTGTCTGCACTCACTGCAAGGAAGAGATTGGCCCCCAGCCCTTCTTTGAGCGGAGTGGCTTGGCCTACTGCTCCAAGGACTACCACGATCTCTTTTCCCCACGTTGTGCTTACTGTGCTGCTCCCATCCTGGATGTAAGTCATCCCCCTTTTCCTGCTCCTGCACCACAGTCCTGATTTATAGCTCTGTGGCTTTCTAATACGGCTCTGTATGTTCCTTTTCCAGAAAGTGCTGACAGCAATGAACCAAACCTGGCACCCAGAACACTTCTTCTGCTTTCACTGCGGAGAGGTGTTTGGTGCGGAAGGTAGGTCCCGGGGGGTTGCAAGAAGATCAGCAGAGCTTTTCCTTGGTTTGCTGCCTAGTCCCGTTTCCTGCCGCCAGCGTCCATGTCCAGGCCCATTTTAGTACTAGATGCCACCCCTCCTTACCTTTCCCCAATATTTACAAATATCATTTAAATTGCTTTCTTGAAGAAATGCAAATGCATAGTTTAAGAGCTCAAATATTATAGTGAAAAGCATCAGTCCCTTGATTTTCCTTTCTTTGCCCCCCAAATCCAGTTATCCTCTCCAAATGTTTTCAGCTTTTTCTTCTGTAATATATTTATATCTGTTACTATAGGTTGATTTTTTTTTTCCTTCTAATTTTAACCATTATATATTAACTTCCTACCAGGAAAGAGGATTTACTACCCCAGTTTACCCCCAACATTCTTCCTCTCCCCCCATTCTCTCAGTATGGAATCAGGTCATAATTATAGGTCACACCAGTATTCAATGTGCACATATTCACAATTCACAGCCATGACAATATTGTTCATTGTTGAGCCCTATAGCAAAGTATGGTTACAACAGAGCACAGATTTTAAGAGTTTAGACTACATGGTTCAAATCTGGGCTGTGGTATTTATTAGTGATAGGATTTTATTCAAGTCATTTAACCCCTCTGTTCCTTGCTTTCCTCATTGGTGAAATGGGCCTGGTAATAATTCCTACCCTGTAATCTTGCCTTACAGAGTAATTATGAGGATTTTAAGATACAATGACAGTGTAGTGTTTAGAACAGTGCCTGGCACATGGAAACACAGTAAAAATAGTATCACTATCATGGTATCCTTTTCATATAATTTTTTCCCTGAAGTTAATATTTAGATTTCTTTTTTCACTAGCTTAATTTTCTTTGTACCTAGCTGTAATTGATGTGACAGAACTGGGAAATCATTCTCAAAATAGTCAGCTGCATCTGGTAGTGGGTCAGTCCCACTGGTTTTGTCTTGGAAACATCCTTCCAGGAGACTTCCATCCTCTTGCCCCAGTCTGCAATGGTTTCTCCTCAGGCCTGCTGTGAAGCATTTACTCTTGGCCATTGTCTTGGGAATTCCTTTTGCTGCTTGACTGCTTTTATCTTTGGGTTCTCTGTTTCCTGGATCCCTGGTCTTTTAATACATGTTACTACCTTTATTTTAGTGGAGCAGCTCCTAGGAAAGAATGAAGAGGAGGTAAAACTTTTGAGACCTTGAAATATCTGAAAATATTGTAATTCTATTGTCTACCTTAAGTTGCCTGGGCATAGAATGCTAGGTGAAACTATTTTCCCCTATAATTCTGAAGACGTCTCGCTTCACTGTCTTCCAGCTTCTATGGTTGAGAAGTTTTTAAGATTTTTTCTTATTCCTGATCCTTTCTGTGTGATTGGTCCTTCTCTCTTCCCAAGTTTTTTTTTTCCTTTTTTCTTTTGCCTTACTTTGATTTTTTTTTTTTTTTTTTTCCTGACTCCTTTTTATGTTTGCTTGGAACAAGTATGACTCATGCGTGGAATCAGAAAGCTTCTTTATTTATTTTTTTGTTCCTGTCCTTTTTGAATTAACTTAGCAGGGAAACTATTCACCTCTTAACTAAATAAAAACTTGGGCAGTCCCATGTCTTTTCTGATGACTCTTAATAAACAGTTCTAAATACAAAATCAGTTTTAGACACAAAACACAAAACTCAGTCCTTGGGTAATTCCATCTGTGTAATAGCTAAAGCATCCAACTTACTTAAAGTGACCGGCACTTAATAAATAAACCAGCACATACCTGCATACTAAAGTGACTGCTGCTGTCCCCTGGTCGGGCCTTTACACTGCTGGAGACCAGGGGAGGGTGCTATGGCCCTTCCTCTGTCCTTTCCTGCCTTTAGCATCCACCACCCTCACCCCTGTTGCTCATCTTGATATCTGACCCCTTCAGGGTTGAAACTGGCAGGGAGGAAGTTGAGCCTGGAGGGCAGGAAAGTCCTAACTTGCTCAGTGCTGATGGAAATTCGTGTCATGCTCTCTGGACCTGGCAGATGTTTAACTTTTTTTTCCCCTTGGATGCTTTTGTGAATTCGGTACAGGTCCAACTTCAGAATCTTAGCCAGCTGTTTTCTGCTTGGCACATTGAAGGACCCATTCCACACAGGTCAGTTTTGCAGGGTTTTCATTGTTCCCTCCTGGTGATCTCTTAGAAGTGATCACAGTGGTCCCAGATATCTCTTTCACACTTTCCTATATGGACCATGGGAAACTGGCATCTTTTCCTTACACTCAGTGGGATTATAGTCCGTTAACAGCTGTGTTTCCCTATTCAGCCAGACTCATTCATGGATTTTTTCCATCAGCTATATCCCACTGATGGCCCAGGACATACCCAGATCTCTGAGTGGCTTTACTGAGGTCCCTCTCTTGACCTGAGGTTAGCAGGAACCATGCCAGACCACATCCCTCTTGGCTGTGTGATGGTGGTAGAGCACCCATAGCTTTCTCCAAAGGAATCCCTCTCTCAATTTTCTTTCCTCCCTCCCTGTTTTATATCCTCACAGGGAGTGAGGAGTTCAAGAATCATATAAACAGTCTATGGCTGTCTACTTTGAGGGATGTCTTAAAGCCCAGTTTGTAATTGACATCTATTAGATCTTGTGCCTTACACCTTGTTACACCAGTCTTGGCCAAATGCTGCTGATCTTTGGTTGCCCCTAAAATGTTAATTGGAAGCTCTGTGGGTATAAGCAGAACTTGTCAACTGGTGGACTCAGCTGTGTGGTATGCAAGTAGCATGCTCCAGTCATTTTGCTGGGAGACCCCTGACTGCTCATATGGTAGGTCTTTTAGTGCCTGAGATCCTCTGGTGTGACAGTTCCAGAATTAATCACTGCTCTTCAGACTTTCAGCCGGTCTGTTTCCAGCCTCGAAGACTATTTTGTACATTCACTTTCTGAGCCCCTCTGACGCAATGGAACACGCCAGCCTGAAGTGTCTGGGCCCCTCCCCTCGGGAGAAATGCAGGCTTCAGCTTCCTTGTTTGCCAAGCTCGTTGCCACTCTTATACCTACTTAAAATATTGGAAAACTTTATTGGTGTCTCATTGATGGCATCTCCTCTCCTTTTCTCCTATTCCTTGTGGGTATTTCTATTTTAAATAATTTTTTAACTATTGTGTTGGTGGTGTTTCAAGAGGGAGTGAAAATAATCCCCTGTATCCTGCCCTTCACTGGCACGGGGACTCACCTAAATGTCAGGAGGGTTATTATGCACATTCCTAACGATTATTCATTTAATCCCCACCACAGTCTGGTGAGGGTATTTTTATCCCACATTTTACCTAGTTATAGATGGAAACACTGAGCCTCAGGGAGGTAACATAATTTTCTTAAAGTGATACAGCCAGAAAGTCGAAGAGTTGGAACCAGAACTCAGGTCCCATTTCTGCAAGTTCTGTGTTGTTTCTACATCATCACAACTGCCCCCAGGCAGAGACTCAGTTCTTCTTCTGCAGCTGAATCCCTTTACTTTCATGGTGCCGCTGTGCTCCACTCTTATTTGACAATAGACCCAGAAACAGTGGCACTGACATAATCCACTAGCGAAGTGCTTTGCAGTAATTTGCTTGTTCACGGAAGCCTGTTTAATGCTTTTCACAAATCATTAGGAATTTCATTTCTAGATTGTGCTTTAGTTAAGCAGGATTTTTTAATTGAGATTTAATCTAAATCATATTGAAGTGTGTCCTGGTAAATTTATATTGTATTGGTAGCCACAGAAGTGGGAGAGTCAGTTGAATAGAACAGTCAGCAGGTGCTTACTGCCCACAGACGAGTGTGCTGTGGACGTCTCCTGTGAGCAGAGCCATAGAATAACAGGCGTGTTTCCAGACGAGATGTCAGTTAGATACAAAAGAAAAGTATCCCATCCATAGGATGACCAGAAAGCACCATGAAGGGAGCTAATACTCACTGTTCTTGACTTTGGCCTCCTCTAACGACACAAGTCTCTTACGACTTTACGTCCTCATCAGGCCACACTTAAAGCATTTATTGAGACACGTGACCAAAGAAGGCCATTTTTTTAATCAGAAGCTCCTCCTACATCATATTTTTGTTTTTGTCCTTTGCTTTCTGTAAGTGGGTCTCCTGCTGCATGGCTGGCCTGTTAATTGGGTGGCATCCGGCCTCACCCCAGGTCACATAGTCACACATGGAGTTTCTATAATGAGAGCTTAACCTTCTGGGAAATTAAATTCATCTGCATTTTTGTTTCAGTTCAGAAAATTCCTCTTGAAGGCTCAAGTTTCTAAACATTTCAGGCCTTAGCATCCTCCCCTAGGGACCAGGTCTTCAGTGCCTGTGTCTTTCTTTTGAAATTGTTCATTATCCAGGCCATGGAGGTGCTCCCTAATTTCCCCTGTGGCTGGGAGCCTCCCCAGAGTGTAAACACCTCTCTCTCTCTCTGTGTCACTTTTAATTGTTAGTGTTTCTTATCCGTTCTCCAGAGGTAATTGGCCCCAGAGAGAGCCTCCAGGAAAGTTACTGCTGAAACTTTCTCAGTTTATTGGATCACTGAATGCAGGGGCATCACAGCAAGTTCGGCTGATTGCTTTTGATTCCTCTCCTGAGACTCACCCTAGTTGAAACAGAGGCTGTTCCTTCCCTGCTGTGTTATTCTGGAGACCAGCTACCCTGCAAATGCCTAGATGAGGGTCATTCCCAGGTCATTTGGCATGTCTTACAATTTTCTCAAGTAACACCTACTTACAGGCAAGTTCAGTTTTATGTCACTTGCTTTATGGAGCATACATGGGAAGTTGGGGGCCCCATCCCCGATCTACTGAATCAGAGACTCTGGGGGTGGGGCCCAAGCGATCTGCATATTGACAAGCTCTCTAGGTGCCGGATGCACACTGAATTTGAAAACTACCCGGCCACACAAAAACAAGGAGGATGGTTGTGGGTGCTGGTTTGTTCTTCTGAAGTGGTAGGCCTTCCTGCATTCTGTTGTCCTTGATCAGACTCTAGACATTCTTTGATAAAGTGGAAAAGGTAAAGTGAGTTCTTCTGTGTCCAGGGGCTTTAGCAGAACATAGGACAGCTTATAAAATTATTAGTTTCTTAGATGTATAGGCTCAGAAGTCTATTCAGTTGTCTGCTCTTCAAAGACAGCCTAGTTGAACAAAGCAAGGGATATCCAAAAGTGACCAGAGAGAACAGAAAAAGCGTTCTTTTTGGGTCCCAAACCTCGGGCTGCTCTTACTGCCTTTTTGGATCTGGCTGCTACTATCAAAATGGGCTCCTAGAAGTAGTGTTTCCACGGTGGGCTGCTTTCCAGTCCACTTTGCTTATGTGCTCTTTCAGTGCAAGTACAGCTAGAGCTCTCATATTTACAAAGCTTTTGGGCTCAGCTGATGCTATGAGTCCTCACAGAGAGGTCACCACTAGGGTATATTTAAATTAAGGGTATGACTTTGAAGTTAGGCTTTGAAGTTAGGCCTAGACTTGGACATCAGGTCCCCTGCTGACTAGTTTGTTATATGTAATTTCTCTGAGCCTCCCTTTTCTCCTTTGTGAGATGGGAGCATTGCTGTGAAGAATTCAATTTCAATTTAGTACCACAGATAGAGCCCTCATTTGGAACCGCTACAAAGCACGTGCTACGTAAATGGGATTGCTGGCGGTCATCTTCACATTAGACAGGCTCTCCTGACGGATGCTAAGCAGAGTTCCTTACAGAAGAGGGCACCTGTTTACACATATTATAGTTAGTCCTGGAGGGGCTCTAAACTACAGCATACTTCTGGAGCCTTTGATGGTCTAAGTTGTGCAGTTGTAACATTGTTGACATGTCTGCTCATTCAGTAAATATTTATTGAGCAACTACTGTCTGTGTGTCTAAGTACTGTTCTAGGTACTAGGGATATGGCAACAAAAGACAGAGTTTCTCCCCTCATGGTGTATATATTCTAGTTGAGAGAGACCGATAATCATCAGAACTAGCCAGCTAATTAACTCACTCACTCTATGCTTATAATTCACTTACAACTTACCCACCATTTTAGGAGAGGGAGTGATAGGGTGCTATTTGAAACAGGGTGGGTGGGTCTGTTGTTCTGTTGAACAGGCCCCTCCGTGAGGTGGAGGACCAAACTGTCTGGGAATCTTAGAGAAGTGCTTTTCAAGGCAGAGGACACGTATTACTTAAATAGGTGCTTGAGGATGAACTGATTTATTATATTTTTCTTTTTTCAATGTAAAGATGATAAGAAAAAAAACTTGCAGAAATCTTTACTTATAATCTATTACCCTTGTTAACAAATACAACATAAAAAAAGTTTCCCTAGTAATATTTTTCTACATTTAGTATTTATGCATACCTTAGTTAGGTGTACCTAAAAGTCCTTTTCATCACTTAAGAATTTCCTCATGTGACTTTATAATTTTATAATAATAATTTTAATAATATCAATTATTCCATTAGGGCTTTTTGTAGACAAATTATAAAAAGTATGTGCTTAAAAGCTTTATTTATAGTTTCAAATATTATAAACAACTGTGTTCATAATAGTATATTTAGATTACTTCTTGTCTGTTAGTAGCACTGCAGTGATTATCTTTAAACATAATATTTTCATTCAATTATTTGTATGGGTTAATTCCCAGGAGAAAGATATTTATATCTTTTTAAAAAAATTCTTGATAAACATTACCAAATGATTTTCCAAAAGAATACTAACATTTAACTTTGTCACTGGGAATATATAAATACGTGAATCACTCCCATATATTTTCCGGTATTAGGTAGACTTATTTAACACTATTTTTACTACTTAGCTAAAATTAGAAATTGAACCTCCTAATTAGCAAAAATTAGAACTTTACTTTTTTCTTTTGAGTTTCATGATTTACTCATGTTGAACATATTACAACTAAAAGCGTTTCATCTTGTGTTATTTGTCTCTTTATGAGGACAACTTATTTTATTTGTTTATTTTTAAAGATTTTATTTATTTATTTGAACAAGAGAGATCACAAGCTGGGGAAGAGGCAGAGGGAGAAGCAAACTCCCTGCTGAGCAGGGAGCCCAATGTAGGGACTTGATCCCAGGACCCTGGAATCATGACCAGATCTGAAGGCAGATGCTTAACCAACTGAGCCACCCAGGGGCCCCAGGACGACTTATTTTAAAGGATTTAAAAAAGTAATCCCTTGGGTTTCTCATCCTTCTTTATGTGGGCGTAGGATGTATAAGACTCAAGGAAGGGTTTTCTAACAAGAGCCCAATTGTGAAAATATCCAGTATTAAAGTATTTAAGAGAAAGCCTTATTCATTAACAAATTGATTATTATTTTTTTTATTATGGAAATTTCTTCCTGCCTCGTTCACCAACTATCTATGTTTTACCAAACTAATTTCCTCTAACCTCCACTCACCTGTCTACCCCTTTTCTTGCTGGAATATTTAAAAGCAAATCAAAGAAATCTTATGTCACCATTAAATACTTCAACATGAGTCATCTTTGATTAATCAAGACTTTTTTTTTAAACACAACTACTTTCACACCTAGTGAAACTATTAATTCCTCATTATCATATAAAACCCATATCTAAACTTCTCAAATTTCTGAAACTACATCATTTACTTGGTTTGTTTGAATCCGTTGGGCCCAGGCAAAACGTATGTCTTGCATTTGGCCATTTTATCTCTCAAAATTTAAAAATCCTGTAATGATTCTCTCTTCCCCATTTTTTAAAATACCATTGATTTGTTAAGAAACTGGAGCCTATGTCCGATAACGTGTTCCATATTCTTGATTTGACTGTGGCTCCTTCCTCATGATGTTTAACATACTTGCTTTATCAGTCCACCCACTGTTTTTCTGAGATAAAATTGGCAGATAGGTTTGTCCCTCATCTTGCTTTTGCTTATGGTGCTTTTGGTCATGCACAAGTCATTCACATATTTTTAATGGAGCTAAATTTATTGATTTTTAACTTGCTTTTGAAATTTGATTCATGTGTACTACAGTTTTCTCATTCCCAGGTTCACGAGGAGCTCACTCATTTTTGACTCAAGCCTTTGTGTGGTTTGAATCGTTACATTTAGAATCTTGCATCCACTTAGAAATTATTATTTCACAGCACTTTCTTTTTAAAGATTAAGCCCTTTTCTCCAGGTGCTGTTTTAGGTACTAGAGTTATTAACATGACAAGACCAACAGTATCTAGTTTCAGAGCTAATGCTCCAGTGCGGGAAGACAGACCACAAAGATGGTTTCAGATGATGGTAAATGCTAGAAAGATGATTTTAGAAAAGATGAAGTGACAGATATGGGCTGGTAAGAGGTGCTTCTGATAGGGTGACATTTGAACCAATTTCTGAATGGTAAGGTGAGATTAGCCACGCCAAAGCCTGGGGCAGAGGTGTGTGCAGGCCAGTGTGATACTTAGTGCAGAGATGTTGAGCAGAAATAGACCCTAATACTAAAGGCTGGGTATGAGCCAGGCCCAGCACTAATGCACCTGTCCCCCATTATATCCTGTATTTATTTATTTATTATTTCTCATGTACTTCTTATAATGAGCTGTTGAGGTTGGTCTTGAACATAAGGACACTGAGTTCGGGAGAACTGAAATCATTGGCCTCTTCTCAGCTTCCAACTTGGTGGAGAGTGTCACCCTGCACCGTGAACTGTTGATTTTACCTTTTCAGGCTTTCATGAGAAGGACAAGAAGCCATACTGCCAGAAGGATTTCTTAGCCATGTTCTCACCCAAGTGTGGTGGCTGCAACCGCCCAGTGTTGGAAAACTACCTCTCAGCCATGGACACCGTCTGGCACCCGGAATGCTTTGTGTGTGGGGTCTGTACACTCACCTCTCTTTTGGACTTAGTCAAAGTCAAGGGTCTTCCTTTCTGAGGGGCAGAACAGCAACTGGAAAAAGGGTTCACAGCTTGAGGTGAGGGATTGATGTGGGCCTGGTAAAAGAGGCTGTGGGCATTTGCTCATCTCTTTTGCAAGTGGGTGATATTCTCGCCTCCACTGGTCGGGTAGCTGGCAGGAATTTCAAGGCTGCAAGTTTTACTTTGCTGATATTCTACTCTTGACATCTGCATTCCTTTTCTTTCCCTTCACCCTGTCCCCCAGGACTGCTTCAGCAGTTTCTCTTCCGGCTCCTTCTTTGAACTGGACGGACGTCCGTATTGTGAGCTCCATTACCATCAGCGCCGGGGAACACTCTGCCACGGGTGCGGACAGCCCATCACCGGCCGCTGCATCAGTGCCATGGGCCACAAGTTCCATCCCGAGCACTTCGTCTGTGCCTTCTGCCTGACACAGCTGTCAAAGGGCATCTTCAGGGAGCAGGATGACAAGACCTATTGTCAGGCCTGCTTCACGAAACTCTTCCCACTGTAATCTCAGCTGAACCCACAGTCTCCGCAGATCCCCTACAAAATTTAAACCAGGAGGGGAAGGAGTATACTTTGTTGTTACTGCTCTTCAGCTCAGTGGGCATATAGGGGAAGTAAAGGTGATGAACTTCTAGTTGTTACATGCCTAGGCTTGTAATCTTAGGTTTTACATTTCTAGTCTTATTTTTTTTCCTTAATCAAGTATCTGGGTTTAGATCTAGGTCCTGCTTCTAGAACCTCTGCAGCTGCGTCTTCCACAGGTGCACATTCATTCCACCACCAGTTTTCTCAGCTTTCTCCCGTTTTCACTCCTGCCTTGGCCCTCGTCACTGGGCCTTTTCACGCCTCCCTCATTTCCCCTTGACTCACTTTCCCATGACCAATGCATTATCCTCGCTGTCAGGAGTCCTGAGGCCCCTCTGAAGCCCTCTGCATCTCTATTCAGTGTACTTCTTCTCTATTTCAAGAGGAAATAGATTTTAACTGGACTACTTTGAGTACTGACATCATTGATAAATAAAACAGCTTTTAGTTTTAACGTCTTACTGTTGTGTTTGGAGATAAACTGCTTCCTGTGTTATATACTCAACACTCTGCCGTTAAATCCATATCCTATCTCTTGTTTACTTCCATACAATAGGCACTTTTTCTTAATCAAAAGAAATTGAATGGAGGGACTCCTGTTCACTAACTTTTCTCTTAGTTTGGGCCCATAACATACATTTTATTTTATTTTTTGCACTGACATGATTGAATCATCTTAAAAGGTGGCAAAGCCCCTTAAAATTGTTTTCATCACTTTGTTTACCCAAAGTGAAAAATCAGATCTCTGCTAGGCACTTGAAAATTCATATTTGTATGCATTTCTACAAATTCATTACATTGTGTATATGAAATAAGTCCAGTTTTTTTGTATACCAGTTATATCTTAATAAAGCTGTTTTTTAAAAAACACATTTTTCTCAACTTCATAATTATCTCAAAAAGACAAACAAGGTAGCTGTTTCATCTCTAATGAAAGTTGCTATAAAGAATCATCTGATAATTTCCAGTTTGGATTAGGAAATCTAAGCCCCAAGAAAATCCCCATTTAATTATTTGTTCCTTTGCAACACATCATAAGTATATTTGTAGAAAAGCTCATTAGTTATTGATGAGTCTGCCTTTCTCATGTCCTATCTCAAGTAAGCTTCAGAAGGAATCCTGGTTCCTCAAAAGAGGTATTGATAAGATCTGCACTATGCCTTTCTTACCGTGGTCTTAAAATAATTGTGTGATTATTTATTAAAAAAACCAGAGTTTAAGGTACTGAGGAAAATCCTTTACCAGAGTTATTTTAAAAAATAGGACCAATTTAATGTCTTTAGACTGGTATGGGAACAGGCTTCTTAGAGAATGATTCTTGTTAAACTTGGTCACATCTGTCTCCTCCGTGGGGTCATATCATAAGGGGGTTTTGAGAATTACAAGGAAGTAACAGTTAACAGGAACTTCAACATATCCAAGCTACGTGGGAGTTTCACGCACGGAGCCATCGGGCCTCCTGTCCGGTTGAGACCAGACCAAGCAGAGTATTCATTCTTCCAAATATCCTCCTTACAGTAGCTGCGATCTGTGATGTCACGTGCAGGTGCCAACAGGACCGTGTTCACAGCTGCCTTGACACTTTGGCAACGTATGCTTGAGGTTTTAACCCTTAAGGAAGAATGTTCAGGTGCTAACACTTTTCTTTCTTAAGGATTGTCTATTTCGAGATATTGGTAGAATCTATATATTTAAGAAGTCAGAGAAAAGGCAGTGCTGACCAGGTGCAACTAAGAAGTGAAGACTTTTTCGCCTTACGATGAATGTAAGTGGTATTATTTGCTCATGAAGAGATGCTGCATTCAGGGCATTTTAGCAGCTAGGAAACCATTCACAAGAAGTTTTCCTTGGGAAACAAAAACCCAACCAACCAACCAACCAAACAAAAAAACAAGAGAAATCCTGTTACACAAACTGGTCGTCTACCTATTCACTCTTGGTTCTGAGTAACTTCTAGCTTTGAAAAAACAAAATCTACCTTGAAAGAATGGGGCTTTTCTACCAGTGAGCACTAGATATCTGTACCTGTATCTATATCCACATATATGGGTTTCTCAAAGAAAAACTTCTCAATTCATGTGGCCGGTTATTCTTTGGGATAAGGATAGAGTCCTTCAAGGTGAAGGACAACAATTATTTTTCCGTACAAGTTGTAGCAGTACTTCCGTGGTGGTCGGCTGGCTACCCTCCGCATGCTGTCTCTCTCATGACCAGTAGAGGGAGGAAGATCCCTTTTCTGCAGCTTTGCAAGTGAAGGTCCTGAGATTTATCCTCACTCCAAAGTAGCTTAGGTCATTACTCACCAGGAATTTTTACTGGGAGATTGGATTATGCAGCTTGGCTTAAGACAAACCAGACCATTCCTAGAATTAGGGGCAGGGCTAAGTTCCTGAAAACACAAGGGCTGTGTGGAGGAGATGTGAATACTTTAAAAATCTGGGTACAGGTGAGGAGGGGGTACAGAATCTCAAATTTGCAGGACTATATATTCAAAAGCAAAAACATTAAAGCATTTCGGAGTTTCAATGTAATACAGAAGGTAAGCAAGCAGATATTTCTAGTGCCCCGAGGGAACATGTCAGAACTTAACAGAAGTCCAAAACAGAGGAGAGCCAAGAGTGATGGTGTCATGAAGACTGGGGGGCAGAAGAACAGGCCTTCGCTGGGACCCTAGAGACACAGCATTAAGAAGCATCAAAAGCAGCCTTAATCTTGGAATCCAAAGAGGGAGCTCTTCTGGCTGAAATAAAGATGAGAAGGAGGAACAACTTTCTTTAGGGGCAATTGTCTTGGGCATGAGCAGGTGCCTAATAAGGACAGTGGTGGCAGCCACTCACACACGGCGCTGAAAAAGGGACCACCTACCCCCTAAATACTGTGGAGGCTGTGTTACCAGGCAGAACTCACCATCAGGGCAGCACATGAGAACTCAGAGCTCAAAGGAGAAGTGGAAATCTACTGGGATCCACTGGATGAGAAAGAGAGAAATCTCAGATAAGAGCTGGGTCTTGAGTTGTGCTTGTTACAAATTTATAACTTTGCCAGGCGGCAGTAATGTCTCAAATTTATTCTGTAAGAAAGGAGACTCTTTATGTAAGAGCTTTCTCCTTCCTAGATATGGTAAACACATGGTATCTAAATTAATTTTCTGTGGGAAGATATGTCCTAACTGCATTTAGGTTCACAGATCATGGATTCTGGACAATTGAATAGACCTGCTGGCATCCTGCTGAGCGATTCTTCTTACCTCCTATTTTGAATATCACCACATCTCACCAAATACTGTATCTTACTAGCAGGAACATTTTGGCCTAGGATAACTACTGCAATTCCACTGAGACGGTATCTCAGGTCACAGGTGTGGATGACGATATCTCAGGTCACAGGTGCGGATGGGGCAACTTCTATAGCTCAGCATGAGCAGACCAGGAGATCAAAGAGGACTTCACTTCCTTTGAACCTGACTTAAAGTATGTCAGCTCACGTTAATTAAACCTAAGTTATGTCCTATGACTGGACATAATCGAGGATGTGAAATTGAATGGGAGTACCACAGGTTCCCATCTTCAGCCCAGGTGGTTGGGTGGGGCTGTCCATCCCTTAGCTTCTGGGATGGACATACATCTCAGGCCTGACCAGTAAGTGTGCTTTGTTCTTCTGGACCAAGGTGATTGGATCAAGGGTAGTCATGTGACCCAAACAAATCTAACTAGATTTCTCCCAGGACCTTTGCTGGGTTTATTGGGAAAGAGGTATTCTCATTTGGTTGAGATTCTAGCGGTGACCATAATAAAATCCTATTGCTGTCGAGATATATCTCTTTGGTGACATATAGGGAGTCTACCTGAGAGAAGCCAACATTGAGGAAAGAATTGCTGAGTCATGAAGATGTCATATCTTGGGGCACCTACGTAGCTCAGTTGGTTGAGTGTTGGGCTCCGGATTTGGGCTCAGGTCACAATCTCAGGGTTGTAAAGTCAAGCCCCAAGTCAGACTCCATGCTCAGTGGGGAGTCTGCTTGGGATTCTCTCTATCCCCTCCCCTCCCTGCCCCTGTTCTCTCTCTCAAATAAATAGTAAATCTTTAAAAAGGAAAAGGTCATGTCTTCTTTTTCTTGAGCCACTCAATCTTACCATAACAACACCTTAACCACAGACTGGGAAGTTATGTGAGCAAATAAGTCCTCTTTTTTGCTTAAACTGATTTGAGTTGGAATAGTGTGACCAAAGAACTGTGTATGCAGATTAGACATATTCTCTCCTTTATAGACATAGAGTCTTGTGAAAGAATGGATCAATGAATGAAGAAACCCAACAGTGGTAGGGTATGTACATTGCATGTCACCGTGCAAAACTACTAGACAAGCATCGCATCTTCTCAATGTTTTTTACATGAAAGCACAAGGAAACACTTCGTATTTTAAGTCTGAGGCACCCTGTGGATAGCTGTGTATGGAAAATACAAACTTCTTGTTCCTGTCCAAGTGGTTAGTAAAGCTGAGTAATGCGTATCAGCATCTCTAAGGGGAAGGAGGAAGAAGAGGGTGCTGTCATTCTCTATGCAAAAATGTGTTGGAAATGATGTTAAATGTGCTGCTTTATCTAGTGCTCATCCATAGAAAACTATCATAGCTTTAATGTTACTATAAGGCTGTGTATTTATCATGAAAAGAGTTTTAGAAAAATCTTGATGTTTTACTTGCAAACAAACAAAAAAAGAAAATTTAGAACATTTTAAGAGAATTGGATTTACCTTTATCCTGAAACTTGGTACTTGACAAAAATTGGGTTTACAAGAGGTTGAGGAAGAGAAAAAAGACATTTATAGTGATTCTGAGAGGAGATCTTAGGACACTTTTCAGTGCTTTGGAGGTTGAGGGTGACGATTTTCATTATGTTCAATGACACTTGGAAAACATGACTTTCCCTCTCCAGGTGCTCTTGCCTTTTCAGACATGAGTCAAAGAAAAATTGGAGGCTCAAAAATAAAGTGAGGAGCTTAGAAGGAGAGACATTTTCCTAAAATAATCTGAAAAATTTGAACGGCAAGGAAAGTGGGAGGGGAGAAAATTATAGGATATGTAAGGGAACTTGTGAGTTAGGCAAGGTGAAATTTCCAGAGCTTTCAGCAAAGGAAGAAACATGGCTAAGATAAAGGTGACATATAACACACTCTCTGTGAGGTAGAGAAAGGCAGGGGGTATGGGGGTAGTGGGTTGTCTGTCACTCATTTCATCCCCTTATACCAACTGCCAGGGGAAGCTATTACTTATTCTGGAGTGTCTCTGAGTTTGGGTTTTCTAAAAGTGGACCCTGAGGGTAGGATTTGTGTGTAATAGTCTACTGAGGCGGGGGGGGGGTGTCTCTGGATATATAGGTAGGAGAGAGGGGAAAATGAGACAGCAAGAAGAAACAGTCCAGGTCAGTGTGCACTGATGAACAGGTTACTGTTGTGTGCGAAAAGATGGAGCTCAGGATTCTTGAGGCTCTCTGGAATTTATTGTAGGACCCATGAGATGTCAACCAGTGCCACTACCCCACCTCTGCGTCCTCTAGCCTGCCCCACTTTGTAAGCCAGACATGTTTCTGTGGCCAAAGAAATCCCCTCATCTAAGTCACAGGTGCTTGAAACCTTTCCAAGAACATCAGTGTGCACCAAGCAGTCAATGCCAACCGATATGGGGTGGGGGACTGGGGTGGGGGTAGGGGACTCACAGAGTCTGTTGGGGAAGTTATGAAGGGGTCAGCAT